CAGGAGTTTTTGATTTATGCAAACTGTTAAGAGAGCATTTCTCTGCAGCATCTGCCACAGAAGGAAGGATGCATCACCTTGGACATAAAATGCAGGGAGCGGGGTGCTCCATGCTGAGCCCTGCCAGAAACTTCCTCAGCATCTTGAGTCAAGATAGGGAACTGGAGGGGTGGGAAGACAACAGACCACAGGAAGCCTCAAAGCCAGCAAAGAGGAAGAAAAGTCAAAGCAGGGTATGCTTTTTCTTTTTTTCCCTTGTAATCAGCTGCTTTGTTGAAGGCAGATCAGGTTGGAGAACCTATTTCTGGGATTTGTGATTTAGTTCGTAGGAAAGTAGCCTGATCACAACCGAGGAATATGCCTCTTAGCCACTATCAGAAACACTCAACAAACACCAAGACCTCAGGAACCAGAGGTTAAGGAACATAAAATGCAATCAAGACACCTTTCACCTTAAACAACACGTAGACTGTCCACCAAAAGATTTTTGCTGGAGATAACAAAATTGAGCAGGTCAAGAAGAGCAGGTGACAGACAGCTAGAATTCTTTTACCCAGGAGGCTGATGTTCTTACTTGCCAGGCCAGAAGGTCTGGAAACACTGCATTGTCCCCAGATCCCCTCAGGACCCTGTCTTTGTAATCAATCATCAAGAACATTACACTTAGCCGTGCTATTTGGAGTGCAAGAAACTACTTTTGTATACTTGAGAAATCCCAAGGTATCAGACTGCAGTCAGCATATTACAGGTTCTTGCTGTGAGATGTGGTGTGGTTTATTTTTACCCTATTGTGCTTTTCTACCCTTGAGCAATCATTTTTAGTTTGAGGGTGTGAGGAATGCAGACTCTCTGCCTATCACGTTCTCCTTAGCATCAGGCTAAAGCCATTCTCCCAGACCTTCCCCAGCAGGCTAAGCAGAATGCTCACCTGGTCCTCATGCCCTCATGTCTCTAAAACAGTATCTTTTCTAGGAAGTAAGTTTCATTCAACTTTTTGCTCCCTTCCAACTCCTACCTTAATTAACTCAATATCCTTCTTTCTGCTCTCACTGGTCACATTTCACAATTCACACTCTTTTCTAATCTGCTCATCTTTGCCCCATGGTTTCATTTCCTTCCCAAAACATTTCTTTGAACCAGTAAGAAAGAGCCCACCCATAGAATGCATGGCCTGGAGGGGGAGATACTCATCATAAAGATGGAAGAGGGTAAGTGGAACAAACAAGTTCCTGGTAGTTCAATGCAAAGCATTTAAGAGACCGAGGCTGATCCAGAATCCAAGAACTGCAAAACTGGAAAAACTTATGTGTTTTTTTTTTTTTTTCAGATCACACACAGATATTTTATTTTTCCCTGCATGTTCCCTCCCAGAAGGCATTTAGTCTCTGCTTGAACATGCAAAGTGACCAGGAACGCTTTATCTATAATTAAATGTATTTGATATTTGGGAAACCTTGGCAATATAGTCTCTCTGAAAAGTCTTTATGAAGAGAACTGAAACCTGTCTCCCTTTTTGGTCTTTGAAAGCTGAGTGTGGGATCCTAAAGAAGAGGAAAGGAAGTGAGGGGTTCCTTGCTAATCTAGCCCAGGTTCTTAATACAGGACAACAAGGCTACCTTTGTAACTGTAGGTATGTCTTATTAAAGTTGCTCATGCAGTGGATATTTGTCTCACCCCAAATTCATATGTCAAGTCTTTAAACAGGCAGACAGAAAATTCCCAAATACCCCCAATGTCGTGGTGTTTGGAAATAGACATTGGGGATGAGTCCTCTCCTGCAACAAGATGCCCAGAGGTAATGTTGGTGTTTGTTGTGGGCTTCCATACTGAGGCTCAAGGGTGTCATGGCAAGATTTCTACTACTCTTTGCTCTTTCTGGGATGGTCCTAAGGTGGATACTGAATCTCCAAGTAAATCATCTATATTTCAGGCAGAAAAGAAGCAGAAAGGAAGTGGTGCTTATAGCTGCAAATCTGACATCCTTTAGGCTAAATTATATCCACAGCCATGCATAATTGTAAGTGAAACTAAGAAATGTCATTTTTAAGCTGGGGATATTGTTACCACCTGCAAAACAGAGATCTGTTAAAAAGAAAAGGGGACATGGCTGTGAGGCAAGTATTTGCCAAAGTGTATCAGTAGGTATAGATCCTCCTTGGTTAAAAACCCATGCAGTGTTAATTAGAAAAATCAGGAATCTTACAGGTTAGTTTGTTAAAGGATGCAGGTAGCTCACAAATGCCTCTGGGAGGGCCAGAAAAACAAGTTTGTATATTGCCAGCCAGAGACACAATAAGGATGAAAATGCCTAATTGTCTCAGGATTCTATTGCTGAACAGTTATTGCTACCCTCATTGTCTACTGCTTGCCACCCAAAATGCTGGAGTCAGACCTTAGGACTATAGCTACCACAAAAGAACCAGGTCCCCCCATACTTGTTTGCTTAAAAAGCAACTCTCTCCTCATGTTGCTTACTTCCACTGCCAAGACTCTTGCATATGAGAGTGCATGGAGATCTGCCTGCTTCCATGATTCCATGATTGCATGATAGGATCCTCAGCATGCTGCTGAACCCTGAGAAATTAGGCCTATTATTTTCAGCCTCTCCAGGACAAGAAGACAAACTAGGAGGGGCTTAGGATAAGCATTGCATGAACCAAGCTCTGGTATCAGTCACCAACTGTTTGAAATAGGGGAGACCAGATATCATGTGGCCACTAACTGACCAATCATTTCCCCTGGATTTGAGGGGAGATTTGAAGGTGCACGCATGTGCACATGCACACTCTCTCTCACACACACAGGTTCTAGAAAAGAAGGGCTTACTGAGAAAGGAAGAGAATGACACAATCTTTTCAATTCTATTTTTTCTTCGACATTACACAGTGCATTTTTATAAAGATAACAGATGGGAATCCTATATTCATTAAGGAGAGAAAAAGAATTCATCTGCTAGTGTTTTAAACAAGGGAAATATGTAGTATTTACTGCTACCCTTTGAAGACCCTTTGAAGATTTTAATTAGGTCTGAATGTGTTATTCTGTCTGCTTAAACAGATATACCACATGGTCACAAGGCCACTCATTTCAGTCCATGGCCCAATCCATTGGGTCTCCTTGGTTGGAATTAAAAATCTAACCAAAAAGACCCCATAAAGGACCCCCAAATTCTCTTCATCTTAAAAAGATTTATAAAGAGCATAAAAATGTATACATATATAGACTCAAAATGTATACATATATAGACTCAAAAATTCAAAGTAACTAATTAAATACTTGTTTGAGTTCAGCCCAATCTCTCACGGTACAATCATTCCTGATAATATATCTGTTCTTTAAGAAACTTTTTTTTAAAGGTTTATTTATTTATTTTTACAAGCACTGGGTACAGTCAGAAGCACAGAAGGGTGAGAACATTCACCAGAGCCAGAGTAGGAAACAGAACAGGCAGATGGACTGAAAACACTGCTGAGGGGAGCAGCGGGCGTGGCAAGAGAGGTGTGCGCACCATGTGGGACCCTCGCCAGCTGGCTGGGGATCGAACTGGCACTGCAGAGGCAACAGGGAGCTTCGCAGCCTAGCACTCAACTGCTGTATGTGTGTGTGTGTGTGTGTGTGTGTGTGTGTGTGTGTTTGAGGCATGGGGGAGTGCCAGGTGATTTATTCCTTGAGCTAAATCTTAAAAGTCTGACTGGAGTTCTGGAGTCATTATCTTATCTAGGGGGGAAAATGAATTGAAACATAAAGCCACTAACTGAAATTATTTGGTTGGCACTTCAAAGATTTTTGGCCGTTGTTTATAGAACATACTTTTGAGAGGGTGTGATCCTATACCTCTAAATCATATACAGTGATGTAAACCAATGTTTACCCCTTATTTTAAGAAACAGGATTTTTGTCTCATTTGTGTCTCAATCACTGCCTCTTTGTATCAAAAAGTGGTTACACAGATTTATTTACAAATATGTATTTTTTGTAAAGATTTATTTATTTTTATGCAAGAGCTGGGGTACAGGCCAGAGGCCCCGGGGGGTGAGAGGATTCACCAGAGACAGAGCGGGGAGCAGAACAGGCAGATTGACTGAAATACACCGCTGAGGGGAGCAGCAGGTGAGAAAGGAGAGGTCTGCCGTGCCACGTGGGAATCTCCCTGGCCAGCTGGGCTCGAACCCGTGCTGTGGAGGCTGCGGACAGCTTAACTCGCTGTGCCACCGGGAGGCCCTATGTATTTTTTCTTGACTTATTTACTCACAATTGTTCTGTGGATAAATATTTGTTTAATGTTGAAAAAAGAGTAATTTCCATCAGGAAGCTTGCATTTATGGAAGTAGACATCAATCAAATAATTCCACAATAGTTTATCTAAAACAGAATTGTAAGGGACTCTACAATGTATAGGGTATTTAAAAGCATGTAACAGGGCTGTAAAACAAAACCTGAGTAGGCAGGAGTCCTTTAGAGCATGCCTGTCTTCACCCTCAGATGATGCAAAGTCACAGAAATAATCAGAGGAATGGAATAGTTGGCATTGGACTTTTACTTTTACTATAGAGAATAAACTAGGAATAGACAGTGACTTTTCTTTCACTCTTTGGACATCACCTTTTCTTTCCCATAATCCACCAAACCTAAGATTATGCATTCAGTATCTTCATATATCATCTAGTTCTCCTACTTGGGATGTGTGTTTCCAGAACTATCTTGATTCTTCAGCATCAGAGCTCATCCAGGTGACGGGATTAAAGTAATAAACAGTTTCTGGTAAGGCTCTAATGACAGAGTAGATTAAGGTGCTACCACTTGCCCCTCCCTCTTTTTCTCTATCCTTTATAGAATAGGAACCTTCTTGTCTCCATACAAAGGTGTGAAAGGAAATTTTTATCATCGGGATTGTCCCAGGTGGAAAGACATCTTGAAAATGGATGGAAAGGGTGTTCATCATTCCATAAATTCTATCAAAATAAGCAGATAACTGATTTGCATACTATGATTCCAGAATATGTTCCTTTATTTATCATTTCAAAAGGGTTCTAGTGACAGGATCAGTTTCCATAGTGGATTCTCATAATAGTAACTGACTACCCACTCTTTCACCACATTGAAGGTACAAAGCATATTTAAGAGCAGGGACAAATTCCATCTGTCATGCAACATGAGGGTATCTGTTTTCCTGATTCCCAGACTGGGTGAGCAGAGCACATAATTTTATTTGTGATCTTGTTTTCTCTGTCTGGATCCTTTTTCCTCAAGATTTTGCAGTGATTTTTCTGTATGAAGTTAATCCTCAAAAAGCTTGGAAAGATGAAAACTAAGAAACCAGAAAAGGAAGTGGTTGGGAAGAAATCTATCCAGAGTATTATACCTCTACCTTTTAAAGGGGTAACGATAACTGAGAATTTTATAGCCACTAAGGCCCATGCTAAAGAAGGGAGGGAACCTTTACGGAGCAAGTCCTTACAGTGCCCTTCAAATCTATTCCTGCTGTTGCTGCCCCTGCAGGAAAGCCATTGGATTGTGCGTCAATTAGGCCCCTATGATCTGGAAGGAAAGCTCTCCAGGGCACTCCTGGCAAAGGAAGATTGCAGGCACAGCCCTCAGGCCAATATAGAATGCAGCATTATTTCTCCCTGGGGCCTGAGAGAGTGATGCATTATAGAGAATAATGCTAGAAAGAAGCCTGAGCTATAGAATTAGCATCCACCTCCAGGATCAGTTTTTGGTTTATTTGTTAGAGACACTTACCAAGGGGAGGCATAATTCACTTCTGAGCAGCTTGAACTAATATCATTGTTTCTTTCTAGCTTATATATCAACTTCACACTGGAATTAGAGTAGAATATCTTTTCTTCTCTAGCAAAGCAATCATGACAGTCCCATGGTGGCTGAGTATTTGCAACATGATAAAATATCTAAGAATGGAGAGGATGCACCTTGCTTTCCGAGAATAGTGAGGTTTCCAGATGGTGCCAGAGAGGAGGTGCTGATAATAGCAATGCTGGGCTTCTAACAGAAGACTGTTCACATGTAATACATGGAGGCTTATACAGGAAAAGGCAAGCATCTCCTAATTTGTTTGGGCAGGCCATTTGTGACCCACTCGCTGGGAAATTCAAGAAAACTGAATGTGTGTGCTAATCTGTTACCGATAAATAGCTTCTCCTCTTTACCACCTTTGAATTAGAGGTGGAAGTCATAGAAATGAAAATAGCACACTTGTCAAAACACCTAGTGCTACAGTGTTTTGAGCAATATAAAGGAGGCTGAAAAAGAAAATTGGTAGGGCAGCAGTTCAGAAAATCACATTACGCGCTACTCTTCTGTGATATAACATACTTTTCTTATTGAGAGCTGGTGGAATTTACCCTTAGGTCTTAGTAGAGGGAAGTGTCTTGATATCAGATCACCCTCATTCAATTCTGCAAGAGAAAACTGTTCATACATTATGATCTTTATTAATTGATACATTTATTGATAGTGATTATCACAGATTTTTCATTTGTCGATTCAAATGCCTATTAAATCTACTCTTACATGACCTATTACATCAAAATCAAATATACATTTTGATATTTGAAACTGGATCAAGAAAGGGAGTTTGGATAGAAAAAAAAAAAGAATTAAGGTGCCTGCAGGTATTTTTAGCCACAGGACTGAGCAATACTACATAGGAAGACAGTAGATAAGAGGGTTGAGGCTAAGCCTTGTGGAACCCATTGTATTACTGGATGAAAAGAGAGTAAGGGTCTAGTTAAGAGGACTGAACAAGAGAAACAGAAGAGTTAAAAGTAAATAGACAAATGTAGAATCAAAAACCAAGGTAACACTTGTATTAAAAGAAGGAAGTGGTCAATCAAAGTATCCATTTGCATTTTACAGTATAGACATCATTGCTACTTTGGTATTTTGCAGTAGTGAAATGAAGGAGAAGGGTGGATTGTAAAGGTTATAGAGTTATTGAAGGTGGAAAAATGGAGACAGGATAAATAAGGCTTTAACAATTGTCTGTAAAGGAGAATAAAGAAGTGTAGTGGTGACTGAAGAGACACATTAGTTAGTTCACAATTTTTGTTTAAGATGGGAAATCCAAGAATATATATACACTGATGGGAAATATCCAGTTTGAGGTAAACAAAATGCTTATTGTAAGGAGAAAAAAATCTCCAAGTTCCTCTTAGATCACTGTATTTGGAATAAAGTGTTTAGGGTAGAGAGGGAGCTCTTCAAAAATTAAATGCTACAGTACTAGACATTAGGCAAAGGAAGAAATTGATGTGGTTCCAGAGAAGTAATTGAGAGAGAAGAGAAATGGAAAGAGAGAAAAAGTCAAAGTCAAGGTGTAGGCTGTTCTGTGTTAATGTCAACTATTCTGCGATTCCTACCCTACCCTTACTTCTAATCTCTAATAGATTTTTGAGCTTACAAAGTCCTTTATGTGTATAGGTTCTTCATAGACAGAGAGGAAACTAAGGCAGCCAATTTCTAGAAAATATGAATCCCCATTGATGAACATAAATTGTGGGAAGAATTGGGACATCTATATGAATAGAATTAGGGCTTTTCTAGATGTTTATCTCTTGATGTCCAGAAGATATTTGCACCTTAGACCAAGATGCAAGAAATATGAATGAAAATCACACTTGGGATGTAATAAAGTGAAGTCATTCCCTCAGGTCTACTTCTGGGAGTATTTTCAATCTTCTCTTCTACTTCTGAGCTCTGGAAAGAACCCTGGATGAGTCTTCTACCTTTAACTTCACCATTGGAGGTGATTTCATTGCCAATAAATTTTCTGCCAAGCTGTGAAGGAAGAATCATTTCATTTTGTAGGAATCTGAACCTCTCATATTAGATGCATCAGAGAATAGAAATGATAGTTATTTCAGATAACAGACTTACAAAGAGAAAAACAAATGAGCTTCATACTGTCAACCACCAAATAGTTATGCCCAAATCAAAGGTATGAATGGGTCCAACCTACATTCCATCTTGTATATCGAAGCAAAGAAAATGCATAAATATACTAAGTGAAACAGGCCAAATAAATTATTCAGTTTTCCACTACCTGCCTATTCAGTTTCAAGACAACAGACCATTCTGAGGGTGCAGAGAGTAGAGAAGGGAAAAAAGAAAATTTCAATAATTACCGCCCTTTGCCGGCATTGTAGTACCGAGATTTCCTACTGCAGTGAACTCTCCTGACTCAGCAAGGAAATTGCCTACCACCAATGGAGGACTGGCCTGAAAATAGAATGCAGGGATCGAGGAAAGTAACATTAGGATCTTCCTTCAACTCTCTGGGTCTGGTGTTAAAGGGGGGAGCTTCACATTATGAATGGTATTGGATGAGTGAGCGCTCCATTCATCAATAAGTGAAATTAATTTGATGTAGAATAAAAAATGTGGAATTTCTTATTCTTTAGCTGTTAATTATTCAGGGAATAAGTTTTACCTGTTATTTATTTTATTTATTTTTAAAGATAGGAGGGACTTTACCAAGGTTGGATTATGAGAGGAAAGAGTTAATAATAAAAGGAGAGATTGAAGAGACAAGAAATCTACTGAAATGTTTAACTAAGTTTCTGGAAACTATTACAATAGCACTAATGGATTTTTCATGAAAATCTGATAAGCAAGACAGAATGCCCATATCTGCCACCATGATATACAATACCCTGCCTTTTGTCCACTCTTGTTATCATCCACTCAAGGATCACCTGTGGGAAAGGTAGCCACTCCCAAACCTTGGTTCTTCTGACTCCTCATAACTTTGTGCTTTTATGCCAGTATTCTTCCTGGTATTCTTGGCATCATCTGGGAACAATTTGATTCACCTACAAGTCCTGAAATTCAGAGTTGTGTGTTACTAGTCTATTTCCCCCCAATATCCATCACAGTGTCTAACATACAAGTGTTATACATGTCTGTTGAATTGAACTACTGATTATAAATTTATAGTATTGAGCATTGCTTGTGTTCTAGTCTCAGGCCAGTCCTCCAATAGTGGCAGACTCTTTCATTGCTAAGCTGAGTCATTGAAAACTCTGAGGTGCTCGATCTCTCAGCTCAGTGTTTATCCCTTCTATAGGCTCCACCATCTTTGAAGACTGCAGTTCTTCCCCATCTTCAGAATCTAACACCATCTGAAAAGTAGGGTCTCTTCTAAAAACTAGCCTTCAGAGTAAACAACCTTCTAATGTGGTTATCACATGACCTAAATGAGAATCACCAATGGGGCTTGGTAAACTGACGATACCATGATCATCGTAGGCCTACTCCTTCAGAATCTGTTTGTGGAATCTAAGCAAACCTCCTTTTAGTGGTTCCTCAGGTGACATTTATGAGCTCAGTGACCTGTATTCTGAACACCAAAATCTGTGAAGTAATTGTTTTCAAAACAGAAACTGCCCCTCTCATTCCGCCCTTCCACCATGTCCAATATCATGACTCATATAAATTCACATACACATCTGTTTCTCTTCAATGGACAAAAAATTTTGAATATGGGCTAGAATCTTTTAGGATATTTGATATGGGCAATGGATAGAAAAGAGAGGCATTATATTTCTTCCATGAGTGTATGGTAGTAAACAAACAACAGCTACAAAAATAACCCAAGAAACTGAAGCACCAGTATATTTTTTAACAAGTCAGTCTATAATAGGTATAGAATTTCAAACATCTCTTTACCTTTCTCTCCCCTCCCCCTCAATCCCACACCATCTCCTTCCTTCTATACCTATGACTTCACAAAGAATATACTCTTTCCACTTGGATTTACTCCTTAACTCATCTCAATCTGTCTTCTGCTCTATTATGGATTCTTGGAATGATCCCTTTAACCTTTTAATGTAGACTTGAAAAATGACCACCATAATGGAAATATTAGACTAGAGGTTCCTTTTACCAATCCGTAGGCACCATGTAATGCCACCAAAATTCTTCTGACACACTGAGGTAGATTCAGCATTCCTAAAATTGACTTTCTTTTTTTTTAACCATTTTGCCATTGGGGGACCATGAAGGAAATTTAATAATTTGAATTTGCTGTGCAAAATAAAGCAACATGATATTCTTGTACTCCAGTATTTATGGAGTGAGTTTTATTTTTAATATTTATTTATTTATGCATACAAGAACTGGGGTACAGGCCAGAAGTGTGAGGGGGAGGGGTGAGAGGATTCATCAGGGACAGAGTGGGGAGCAGAACAGGCAGATCTACTGAAATACACTGCTGAGGGGAGCAGTGGGCGAGTAGGAAGAGGTCTGCTGCGCCATTTGGGTCACCTCCCCGGCCTTGGATCAAACTTGTGCTGCAGTGGCTGCGGATTGCTTCATAGTGCTGACACTTAACCACTTGCGCCACCAGGGAGGCCCCTATGGAGTGAGTTTTATAGTCACAGTGGTAGGTGCTATGATAGAATTATGTAAGGCACACTGGGGAGTCAAAAGAAAGTTATCAACTCTATTTAACAGAGTAAAGGAAAACTTCAAAGTGGAGGAGGTTTGGATCTGACCTTAAAATATGATGAATGGCTCTCTATTGAACTCCTGCTTGACAACTTTACTGTTCTTTTTCATTGCTTACCATTCTTGTCTTTATGACAGCATTGTTATAGTTTATCTATCTTTCCTCTGTTGCTTTTTATGATTGCAGCATCTCTTGTAAGAATTTTGCTTAATTCCATCCTCATATCTCTTCTTTCCTAAATCCATATTATTTCAAATAATTTCATCTAAAATTGCACTTATTTACCTACATAATGATTCTTATATTCATGTACCTAGCCCACCTGACTCCTCCATCCCTGAACTGAGTGTTCACTCTGTCATGCAACAAAATGCCTGGGATTCACTCCCTAAATCTAATCAGCCACCAAACCCTAGCAATTTGATTTCTGTCACTTAAATTCATTATTTCTTCTCTATGCCACTGCCACTGACTTCCTTCATGTTTTTGTCTTTTCTTACCTAGTGAAGTCCCTCCCTAATTCATCTTTTTTTGCTTCTGATTTGTTCTTTTTCTGACATTTCCCATGTCAGTACAATTATTTTTTATTAGTTAAATAAAAATTAAATTGTCTAAGTCCTTTGCTTAAAAGCTTTAATCATTACTGTATTTCTCAAGATCCCTGACTTCACTGACAGAAATGCAACTCAAATTGGCTTATAGAAAAAAATATACATGCTCAAGTATCTGGAAAGGACAGGCACAGAAGCAGTCAGATCCAGCCACTCTTACAATGACACCAGGATTCTCACCCTCGGTACTCTTACCTTTTCTTTCTGTTGACTTTATTGTTAGGCAGGCATCCCAAGTGCTAACAAAATGAATACAAGGAACTCCAGAATTAAAATTTCTGCCATTTTAGTCCTGTAGCAGAAAGAGGGCATCTCACTCCTCATATTTCCAATTAAATTTAGGAGCTAAATCTTACTGACCTATCTTACGTCACAAAGACATCCCTTTGGGGCCAGAATAACAGCCCCCAAAGATGTTTAAATCCCAAGAACCTGTGACTTTTTCCTTGCAAGGTGGAAAGATCTTTGCAGATATGATTAAGCTAAGAACATTCAAATGGGGGCTTATCCTGGATTATTCAAATGAGCCCAATGTAATCACAAGGGTGTTCACAACAGGAAGACAGGGTAGAGGGTCACAGTCATCATAGGGGAAAGGATGGCAGAATAAGTGATAAGAGAAAAAGAACAATCTGTGCTGCTGGCCTTGAAGATGGAGGTAGAAGCCATGAGCAAAAAAATGCAGGTGACCTCTAGAAACTAGAAAAGGCAAAGAAATTCTCTCCTGAAATCCCAGAAGGAATATAACCTTACTCACACCTTGATTTTAAGACTACTGACCTACAGGACTATAAGGTAATAAATCTTCTCTTGTTACTAAGTTTGTAGTAAATTTTTTCAGCAGAATTTCCTTAGGGGAACTATTTCAACCCCTAAAGCAATTATGATAATGGAAGTGTTTTGATTGGCCAGACCTAGGTCGCATGTTCATGAAGGTAGGATTGTTTGATTCACCCACACCTGGTAGTCAATGTGGGGGGGTGTATGTTTCCCCAAGAAAAGTCAGGGTACAGTTACACTCATAAAGAGCAGATCTTGGCTTGTAAAAGTAACAGATATCCTCTATAGACACTTCTTGTTTTCCAGGTAAAGATGCTCAGTGGGCAATGAGAAACAATGTAGAAACCTAAAATCTGGTTCTTACTTCTTTCTCTAATACTTTATTCCTTTATTGTTTTCTTTGCTTGTTCAGCCATTACTTCATTCTTCAATTAACTAGTTCTTCAAGATAGCTCAGGAGCTCTTCTGTGTACTAAGCTAGGCGACCCTCCTCTGTGCTCCTCATGTGCTATGAGTAAGTATATCAATGCATTTATCACATTTGCTTAGAAAAATATTAAACCCAATGATAACTCTCATAGCCAATTTTAGTAATTGTGCTGGAAGAAACATGTAAACTTGATTTCCCAAGCAAAACATAGTATTAGCTATTTTTGTAAGCTGTGTTTCCATGGAAACAACCAACAACATGGCAGGAGGGATTCATTGTGACTATATTAGATATAGTTCAATAAACTGGTATTTCTATTTTTTTCCTTTCTCTAAAGAATTCAGAATTCACTTAGAAATGTACTCCTTACTTGATAATTGATAAAATTATTATTTAAACTTGATGGAACTGGAGCTATTGCTGTCCATAATGCAACAACTTTCATTTTTTTCCCATGAATCCTAGACACAGTTGCCTTTTACTTTATAATATATTTTAAGAAAAATAATTCTAATATTGATAGTGAGGGTGCTAATTAAATATTCAGTCCTCTCTGCTTATAAAAGGAAACTTTCATAGGTTGGAAAACAGATGTTTTAGTTCTTGTTCCCATTTTCTAATATGAATTGATCTGCTTCATATCAATAAATCCTCTTGACATTTCACAGTCATGGCGCTAAAACACTAAAGCATCCATGTCAAATGAAAAAGCTGCTGAAAGTAATGGTATTAAATGATGATTTTTAGGTCCTGTCACCAATTTAAATGTATTCTTGATAAGGCATTGGATTTATATGTTAATGGCTGTATTTCACCAATTCTGCCAAATATATCTGCTACAGTATGTAGCAGAAAGTTGTTAAACCTCCAAGGACCCTTTGACTGAGAGAAGTTTTGAAATAAATCAATGAAAATGAGCACAGCCTATTTTCTGAGCATGGCACATCATGACTGTTTGACAGAATGAGTACAGTGTTTGTTTTCAATCCAATAATATCTTTAATTTTTGCAAGCTGTGGAAAGCAGTTTGATGGACCACAGGAAATACATTCAGTTATTTCATGCACAGAGTCAGGCATGAAGTGCTAAAAGAGAACTAGGAGAATTTTCAAGAGTAGTTGTCCTCCTTTTTCAAAAATGAGGCTTTCCTTTTTTCTTTTAGTTTAACTGCAAATCTAGATTTCTCTAAGGAGTCTTACATAATAGCAGTGCCAATTAGTCTGATGTGGCTGTCCTTATACATATGTATTTGTTCTGTATTATTATTATCAAGCTTATAAACCAAAAAAAGTTTAAAATTCAAGGATGTGAATGAATTAGCAGCTATGTTTCCTCATGTTAACTGTGTTCTGCAGAAGTAATTCTTTACAAAGTTGTTCAATGCTGGAACCAAAAGTTGATTTCAGATAATTCACCTCCTATTATGGTGCCCTGCATTTTCTCCCATGCCCAAGCCTGGCCTACTTGCTTTAATCAGCTACTGTTCACTTTCTCCTCTGCACCTCTATTTAGGAGAGAACAACTTGACCTGGACTGTGACATAACTTCCTCTGCTTCGTAATAATTATTGTGATGTTGAAATGAGTTGTAAAGTTGAAAAGAAGGGCTTTACAATATTTTTCTGTGGCGATTTCAGCACAAAGTGAACAACAAAAAGGTGTTTTTTTTTTTTAAATCACCTCCTAAAGAGCGGTTGAAAAAAATGGTATAAAATTTCAATGTTGTGGGCCTCCTTCATGGCGCAAGGGTTAAGACACAAAGCTATGAAGCTGTCCGCAGCCTCTGCAGCACAAGTTCGATCCCCAGGCCAGCTAGGGAGCAACCCACATGTCACAGCAGACCTCTCCTGACTCGCCCGCTGCTCCCCTCAGCAGTGTACTTCGGTCAATCTGCCTGTTCTGTTTCCCACTCTGTCTCTGGTGAATCCTCTCACCCCCACACCTCTGGCCTATACCCCAGCTCTTGTATGCATAAATAAATAAATCTTTAAAAAAATTTCAATGTTGTGGACATAGTGTTAAGAAAGAATAATATCAGAAACATTAAACCCTAGCTGAAAAAGGGAACTATTTTGAGGTGATATTTAATTGTGGGACTATGTGGCCTGAGGAAAGAAGTTTCTACATACACATGCATGCAGATTTGTTTTCTTTTCTTTCTTTCTTTCTTTTTTTTTTTTTTTCAATTTCCAAGATGCCTAGTAGAATACTGGTTAAAAAACATCAAACTTTTGTAACATTTGCTTATTTATCCAGAGAAATCATGCTGGAAACTCACTTTCTATCAATGTTAGTACGTCATCTCAAAGAATTCCCTTTGATCTCAAGAATGAGCTCTTCTCCCAAAGAGGGGATTATCTTAGATTCAGTATCTTACAAATAGTTACTTGATTAAACTCATTATTCTTATTCCTCATAATACATTAAATATATATATACAAATTATTGGTTTATTATCAACATGTCCAAGTTCAAACGTTTTCAATGCCTTATGTAGATTTTTGTTCAAAAGTAGTTCATCCAAGGGTTAGATTCCTTTAAGTGACAACATGGTCAGGCTTAAGAAGTGAAACTAGTTTAGCAAGAGCTTTAGCATCATTTGAGACATAGTTTATGAAAGCAGCTCTGCTTGAGAGCTCTGGCTGGTGCAGGTAGCAAAGGGACACCTGTAAACACCTGGCTGGAGGTTTACATGGATGATCCATATGCATCAGGCTGGGACCACAGTGGAAATGATCAGTCCACCAAGGGAATTGAGCTCCTTTTTGGGGGAGCCCCAAGTCAAAGTGGAGCCATTAAGCTGTAACGGAGGTTATTTTAGGAGCAAGCAAGACTTTGCTATCTGGAAAGAGTCCAGAGCCTCAGATTGAAAAGACCAGGCCTGAAATATCCATTGCTCTTCCCCAAGACCTTTAGCCACTGGCAGGTGAAGGCTATGCCAGGAGCAAAGGCAGGTCACACTTTATTTTTTCTCCTGCCCCATGGTCCTCAAGGTCTGGGTAAGTGCAGAAACTAGTTGTGGTAGAGAACAAAATATGAGGAAACCCTGGTGTCAGGTAACATCTGGGGGCCCTGGAGTTGGCTGGAATATGGGGCACCAGAGGAGTATGGTGAGTCAGAGCCAAGAAAATAAGGCAGGGATCAGGCCCCTTTTATATAGAGAGTTAAGAGAAAAACACAGGACAGCCAGTTAAATTTGACTTAGAAAAATATGAATTATTAAAATATAAGTATATCGGGCCTCCCCTGGTGGTGCAGCGGTTGAGAGCTGGGCTGCAAAGCTGCCCACAGCCTCTGCAGCACTGGTTCGATACCTGGCTGCCAGGGAGGGTCCCACATGGCACGCAGACCTCTCCTGCCATGCCTGCTGCTCCCCTCAGCAGTGTATTTCGTCAGTCTGCCTGTTCTGTTCCCTACTCTAGCTCTAGTGAATTCTCTCATCCTCTCGCACTTCTGACTGTACCCAGTGCTTGTATAAATAAATAAATAAATTTTAAAAATATATATATATATGTCCCCCATATACTTTCTCTTAAAGTCTATTGTTTAAAATTCAAATTTAACTGAATAGGGCCTCCCATAGCTAAAGCTGCCCGCAGCCTCTGCAGCGCCGGTTCGAAACCAGAGGAGGGTCTGGCGCGCAGAAGCAGTGTACTTCAATTCTCTCACCCTTTAACTTGATAAATCTTTTATTTAACTGAATATCATATACTTTTATTTGCTAAATCTGGCAGCCCTATCCAATGCCTTCCTAAAGGTAAGGAAGCTCTCTTGCAAGTAGAGGAGACGCATTGGTGGATTTTAAACATGAGGATTTTACATTCAAGTTTGTGTCATATAAAGTGTATTCTAGTTCAGGTTAGAAGATGAATAGAAGAGGTATGAGACCAATGTTAACGTGGAGGGTCCTGAGGTAGGAGAAGTGTATAAAAGACTTTATCACAAAGACATAAAGCAAAAAAATATGCCATTTTGGACCAGACCAGTAATCTATTTACTTCAATATTCTGTCAACCCATAGCATCAAGGAATGCTTTGTGAAAAAGAATGACATGATAAGAAAATCATCAGTCTCAAGTCTGAGTCTTAGCATTTGACCTTTATTGAAGCCATTTGAGCTTGTACAAATCACTTAACCCCCCAGTATCTAAGCAACCTCAATATACACAAGCTCCTGCACACAAGTTTCTAATCTGTTCTCAAATATTAGGAGGGCAGATTCTCTAAAGCCCCTAACCCATTAAGCTTTCCTGGTCTAAATGTACAAATGAGATAAGACTAGTGGAAAGTTATTTATCTTCATCCTCAGAATCCTCCCTTTGTCTTTTGAATCAAATCTCATCCTAGCTTTTGTTTAAGACTGAACTAGGCATCTATTTCTCCCCATATTCCTCCTCTGCTTCATAATTAATTTTCTCCTATTTGCTCATGCCTACTGAATCCATTTGCTCTTTATTTCATATAACTTTAAGGCTCTGTGTATGCTTTTTCCAAGCCTGGAAATGCCATTTTACTCTTCTTTCTCCACTGAAACTGCTTGGTCCCTTTCTTTTGTTAAAAGCTCACTTACTACAGAAAGTATTTCTTAACTATTATCACCCAATAATAACATTCATCTGTTCCTATACATATCTCAGGATATAATATCCCCACACAGTATTTAAATGTAAATCCTTCCATGTGGCTGCATTTTCTTCTACAGTTATCACTCATGTCTTTCCATACCTTCAAAGCCCAAATGGTCCTCCTCTTACCAACCAGGTAGGGGAGGCCTGGGTTCCTCCATGTTTGTCTTCCCATAACATGTATTACAGAGCTCTAAATTGTGTTCACCAAAGAAATAAATTCGCCAAGGAAATGATTTGCTCCTCTAACAGCAGTGGTTCATTTATTATGAAAATTGTGCCCTGGCTTGAATGAGCTAAACAAAGGCTAAAATAGTCCAAAGTACTGTTTTTCTTTCGGCACTGACTTAGGAAAAGAGAACCTATTGGAAAAATTAGAAAGGGAAGCTTGGGCCAAAGATGAGATGGTCATGAGTAAAAGCATGAAAATAAGTTAAAATGTTTGAAAATAATGCAATGT